TATTAAATTATGCATATATAGCAAGTTAGAATATTATCATTATTATTATTATTACTATCGCGCAATATGGTTTCCGCATTTTCTTGGAATCTGGTACACAGTCGCTGAGAGAGTCCTGTTTCGATCGAGTTTCTTTCTAGACTTATTGATTTAAAAAAAAAAAAAGGAAAAAAAAATTTCCGACCAGTTTCCACGCTATGAATTATATAAAGATTATTTAACAGTGTAACAATTCTTGCTCTGAAGTTAGAAAAAGTCATATAATATATGTATGAGGTTGCTTGGATAGGCGCAGGCTTGTTAGTATTATAAGAATATATCGAGAGTTCAACGACACAACACGTTTAATACTTTCTTTCTAAATGTCCGTAGTAATTCTCGCGTGAACTTGCATGCCAAGCACCACTACTTTTGACATTGAAGAATATTGACTTGGCTCATTTTCAATTCCAATTATCTACTTTTGATGAATTTTAAATGAATTTTCCGCTAGGAAATAGAATGCCTTTTTTAATTTCAATTGTAAAAAAATACTTTTTTCCTCAAATCCCTAACTTCTACTTAGATGTCATGTCATCAAATCATCAACAAAGTCAGATTTTTTCTAAATTCGAAATAAGTGCCTTAACAAAACATTTTTAACAATCAATAGACTTTATATAATTTGATTTATTATCCAGAGAGAGTATTTGGTTTACATAAACGATTATTATTTTTACAGCCTAATATAGATGAAATTATTCAAAAAAAAAAAAAAATTGATCAACCTACAGGTGACTATATTAGAACTTTTATGTATAAGTAGTGACGCAAAAAAAAAATTTTGAAACAAGATCACCCGGAGGGGACATAAAATGATCCTCTCCCTCTCGCAGTGATTTGAATTTACTGGAAATTTTATAATTATAGATGATAGGTTACAAATGAAATTATAAAAAAATTGATTTGAAAGCTGATACATATTAAGGGACCTTGAAAACTTTAACGACTTTTAAAAAATTCACACTTACGAGAGAAATGTGTATGACGAAATATTTTTATCTGAAACGAAGGAAATCGTAATTGCCCCTGTTTAAAAATCGAGAGCATAAAATTTGTCAATAAATTATAAATTATGAAAAAAATCTACATAACTCGTTATCGAAAAAGGAAATGGTATTTTATTTATAACGTGTAAGGCAATTGGAAGTTTTGTATTATTATTATTTTTTTTTCTTTTTCTATTATTATTATTATTATTTATTTAATTATTATTACTAATATTATCAGTATTATTATTTTACTCTCCAGAATTAAAAGCACCACTATTTACTCCACAGCTGAATTCTACTAAATTTTAGTGATTTTTAATAAGAAAGAATTTAAATTCGGGAAATTTTTTTTCTTATACAAAATTGAATTTAATCGTATTATAATTGTACTTGTTTCAACGCTTTCTTATTATATTTTTCTAATTGTAAAAATGTTTCATCATTAAGAAATTTCGTAACGATGATGTCAAACTGCCTAAATCTATTTTCATTATAAAATCATTCCGCTTGATTTCTTCCTCTGGTGATTCCAATTGATTCCACGTCATTAGCTCCGTTAAATCAATGGAATTCGCTCTAATTCTCTAAATTTCGTTTAGATCGAAGAAAAAAATATATTCGAAGAAAGAAATAAAAATTTTTAATTAATTTTTCGCAATTACTATTAGATAAAGAAATTTCTTCTTTTCTCAAATTTTTCTTTTTAAGAATATTTTTTTAAATTTCTTTGTGAATACAAAAACATATTTTTTACAAAATTACGGATGTATTTATCAATTTTTAAGAAAAATAAAAATCTATAAAGGGTGAGAATTATTTTCTGACCGATTTTATATTTTGACCATTGATTTCGTCTCTAAAAATTACTAGAAAAATAATTTTTATAAAAGAGTTAAGTATGAGTTCTCAAACTATATTATAAAATATAAAAACTTCAAATAATTATGTAAAAAAAAATTAAATTAAACTATTTAAAAAAAATTAATTCTTTCGAATTGCCAGTTAAAAGTAGAGAAAATTAAAATTTTCAAATATTTTAATTTGAAACCTTTTCAAAATTATTCAATTATTTAAATACTAAAGTAAATAATTTATTGAATGATTGAATGTTTTTTTAAAATTTAATTCTTCTAAAGAATTATATCGACAAATTTTTAAATAATTGAATTCTTTTGACGAATTTGAATCAAATTTTTAAGAATAATTACATTTTTCGAGAAATTCGATTAAAATTGTACGAATAAAAATAACTAAAATTTTGCGTTGAGCTTTATTGTTTATAAAAATAATTGAATTCCAAAAATAAAATTTATTATTTATAAAAATAATTGAATTCATGAAAAAAATTTATTATTTATGAAATTAATTGAATTATTGGTAAAGAAATTGATATATTTACTTCTTTCTCATCCTGATAATAAATTGAATTTCTGCAACGAATTTTATTATTCATAAAAGAATTTAAATATATTTATAAAAAATAATTTAGTTCTTGCGATGAAATTTAATTAAAGTTTTTAAATAATTGATTTCATTGATTTCATGGGAAATTTGTATTATTCATGAAAAAAAAATTGAATTCTTACGAAGATTTTTACAAAAAAGTTTTTAAATAATTGAATTCAGTTTGGAAATATTTTGAAAACAGTACATATTGAAAATCATTGAATTGCAAAAAGTTTTTAAAAATAATTAAATTTTACAAAGAATTCTATTTAAATTTTTGACAATATAATAATTAAATGTCTGTGTGGCATTTTATTAAATTTTGTTGAAAATAATTGAATTCCTGAGAAGAATTTTATTATTCATGAAAATAATTGAATTTTTGCGAACGATTTTATAATAATTTTATAAAATAATTGAATTTCTGCGAAGAAGTTTATTAATTTTAAAAATAATTGAATTTTGCAAAGAATTTAATTAAAATGACTCAAAATAATTGAATTTTTGGGAATAATTTTGTTATTTATCTATTTATTTACTTATTTACATCTTTAATAATTGAATTGTTTCGAAGAATTATTTATGTAAGTGATTGAATTCTTGGGAAGAATTTTATTAAAATCTAAAAGAATAATTGAATTATTTCAAGAAAATTTAATTAAAATTGTATTTAAAAAAAATTAATTTCTTTCGAACAATTTTATTAAAATATTTGAAAATAATTGAATTCCTTTACAAAATTCAAATGATTTTGTCAATAATTGAATTCTTTCAAAGAATTTTAAAAAAAAACATTTTTTTGAAATAATTGATTTTTTCGAGGAAGTGAAATTAAATTTTTAAGAATAATTACATTTTTTGAGCAATTCCTGTAAAATTGTATTAAAAATAATTGAAATCCTGCAATGAATTTTATTATATATGAAAATAATTAAATAGTTGCAAAGAATTTTATTAAAATTTTCAAAAAATTTTTATTAACTTTTGTTGAAAATATTTGAATTCCTAAAAAGCATTTTATTATTTATGAAAATAATTGAATTCTTGACAACGATTTTATAATAATTTTATAAAATAATTGAATTTCTGCGTAGAAGTTTATTAATTTTAAAAATAATTGAATTCTTGTGATGAATATTGTTATTTATTAAAATAATTGAATTTTGCAAAGAATTTTATTAAAATTTTCAAAAAATTTTTATAAACTTTTGTTGAAAATATTTGAATTCCTAAAAAGCATTTTATTATTTATGAAAATAATTGAATTCTTGACAACGATTTTATAATAATTTTATAAAATAATTGAATTTTTGCGAAGAAGTTTATTAATTTTAAAAATAATTGAATTGTTGTGATGAATATTGTTATTTATGAAAATAATTGAATTTTGCAAAAAATTTTATTAAAATGCTTAAAATAATTGAATTTTCGGGAATAATTTTGTTATTTATCATTAATAATTGATTTCTTTCGAAGAATTATTTATGTAAATAATTGAATTCTTTGGAAGAATGTTATTAAAATCTAAAATAATAATTGAATTATTTCAAGAAAATTTAATTAAAAATAATTGAAATCCTGCAATGAATTTTATTATTTATGAAAATAATTCAATAGCAATTCCTGTAAAATTGTATTAAAAATAATTGAATTCTTCATTAGAATTTTATAAAAATAGTTTTAAATAATTTTTTTTTTCGAAATATAATAAACGTTATGAAAAATTTTATTTTAAATAATTGAATTCTTCTGAAAAACTTTATTTATGAAAATAATTAAATTTGTCGATTAATTAATTTAAAATAATATTAAAAATAATTGAATTTTTCATTAGAATTTTATCAAAAATGTTTTTAAATAATTGAATTCTCAAAAAAAAAAAAAAAAAAACAGAAATAGTAGCTTTTAGTGGCTTTACAAATAATTGTAAAAGCTTTTAAAATTCAATAAGTTTTTGTAATATTTAAATAAAATTATTCATTGAATAATTTAGAAGTATGTAATAATTTTATGATAGTTCTTCAAGAATTAAGTTATTTGAAAAGAAAAGTCAGAAATAGAAGAAATTGAATTAGAATTATTGGTGATTTCATAGTTTATGAGGCAAACAAAAAATACACAAAAATTTAGATTTTAAAATTGCTAATTTTATATATTTAAAAAAGTATGTAAGAAGTTAGCCGCGCGCTCGAGCGCGCAAATTTTTGCTACTTGATAATAATTTGATAAAAGAATTCTTAAATTTATACGCAACAATGGAATACACAATAATTTTTGGAAAACATGAAAAATAGGTCGAATGCAAATTATGAAAGATGAAAAATATAAATATGGTGAGACATGAAAAATAAAATCTATATTTGATAATATTGACCACACACATATATATACATATATCATATATGTAACAAAATCGGGTGGATTGTCGAGTGGCATATAGTGAAAGTATCATGAAGTAAGGTAAAAGGGGGTAACCAAAGGTAGAATAAGGAGGGGGCCTCCTAAGGTATATGAGGCCCTCGATTCGAGATTCTGTTGGTACTCTAGCCTCGCTGTCTACTTACATACTGAAAAAATAACAATATACGTAATTCCTTAAACACACGCGAGCGCGTGCACTCACGCACACACGTATACGATCACGTGCGCTCGCGCGTACGCATCAGTGTTTTTTTTTGGAAAAATATAATAATTTTTTATCTTCCTAATTATCCCCTTAAAAATTGACATCAATTCACAATGCGCAACTATTTTATGGTACGTAACGCGTATTTTAAAAAAATGCAATTTTTTATTATCTTTTAATGAACTCTTGTTTTCGTTTTGTGGTGCGTGATTTACTGTGACAAGTGATTGTGTTTTAATTAATTTTCTTCTTTTACTTTAAAGTTTCATTCAAGCTTTTTAGAGATGCGAAAAAATAAATTTGCTGCAGTTTTGGATTTAATGACTGCATTATATCATGGAAAGTTTCTTGTGCAAATAAAGTTTCTAGAGACGTGAATTTATTTAATGTAAATTATTTCATGTGTGTGTACATTGAAAAGTGATTTTTTTTTATTTTACTTTCTTTGAAGTCTAGTTTCAAAAAAAGGAAGTTTTCCTTTCTCCTAAAATTTTTGCTTTTATCATATCAAATTCTTATCACACCTGGAAAATAGTAGGAAGCAACTTTTACTCCTTACAGATAGTACTTTTACTTCAAGTATTTATTTTATTATATTTCATTATTTATTTATTTCTTTATACATTTTATTTATATTTTTTATATTTTATTTTTATATTTTATTTTTATATTTTACCACTTCTTTTACATTTTCTTTTTACCTTTTTGCTATTTTACAAAATAAAAACTAAAATTCCTGGAAATTTTGCTTCTTTCGATTGTTAATTTTACTAATTCCTCGAGATTCACTTCTAATTTTTTTTTTCAATTGTAATTTATTCCGAAATTTTTAAAAAATTCCCCAATTTATGCAAAAAGTACAAGAAAGTTTCATTTTTACTCTGAAAGTATAGTAAAAGTTGCTTTACTCGCTTTTATACCGCACCACTGGTAAAATTTCCAATACTTTTCTTTCTTATAAATTTACTATTAAAAAAATCACAGAAAATATTTAAAACAAATTTCGATGCTTTTTTATAAAACTTTTTTCAGTTCATATATTAATAAACAGAAAATTATTTCGCCTATAAATTTCAGTTTAAAAAATTTTTGATCTTTACTTTAAAGAAACGTGTTAAAAATGAAATTAAAAATATTATACTTTATTTAGTGTTTCAAAATTAAAAAATTAAATTAAATATATAAAAATTTGAACACTTATGGATTAAAAACAAATTTGTAAAAAAATTGTGCAAAAGATAATAAATTTAGTTAACTTTACAAAAAAAATTATCAAATTAGATATGAAATTTCTCTTTTCACAAAATAAGAGACGTAATTTTATTATGAAATTAATTTAAATTATACTGGGACATATATTATTCAAAGTAAACATATATATATTTATTTAAAATTGCTCTCATTGGTTTAAGATAAGTGCGAACTGGTTAACATATATACGCGGAAGGCGCCCGATCATTTAAAATATTCATGCGCATATTTTGTTACGCTTAGTTAATCCTTTAGAATGTATTAAGTCATTAGAACAGGAAATGACTGTGTACGTGTGTGATAATAGTTCATTTTATTTTTTTTCAATTTTTTTTTTTTTGCTCCATTTATTCAGATAAATGTCAATCCTAGAAACAAATTTTGCTAATTAACATTTCAAAAGTTGTTTTCAATTAAAAGAATCAGAAATTAAATTCAAATTGCAGCGACTAGAAATTAAATTTCACCAATTACTTATAGTTAATAAATTACTGCTAATAGTTTGAGTAATTTTAATAATAATTCATTAAATCAAAAATTATTTACCTAAAGAAAAAATTGAAGTAAAAAAAGTTAATAATTAGTATTATTATTATATTATATTCGCTATTTTTAATTTTGTAAAATAGAAAACAATTTTGTAAAGTTTCCATCAAATTTAATGTTCAAGATCTTTTAAAATCTTTGACATTATTTATTTAAACTTTTAATTAAGAAGAATAAAATTTTAAACAATTTTTTATCGTCAATTGAATTATGTATTATATAAATGAAAAATAATTTTTAATAATAAAAAAAAAGGTTTTTAATAAAAATCCGATAAAAATAATAATAGAAGCAATAATTTTTAGTAACGTTTTATTAAAATAATTTATTATTTTAAACTTTCGAAACTTGAAAACAGTTTGGCAGCTGTGTAATTTCAGCATTCGGAAGCATTCTAATATTATTTATTGATAGTCACAGTTCCTACACCATAAATCATGTAACATTGAAAGTTTCCTAACAAAATTCACGGTATATTGAACATATACACATAATTTATTAGTAATTTGTAAATTATTTTAATTAATTAATTTTCATATAAATATATTTATATATTAATCATCATAAAATTTCAATCAATTTGCGAAAAATTTTACTTTTCCTTTTATTACATATATTTCGTTAATACCTAAATTCAATTTCACCATAATAAAGATAAGAGAAAGAAATTTTTCTATTTTTTTTTTTTTTTTGCAAGAAAGAAACAAATGAAACGGGAGAAAAAAATCAGTTTGGTTAGTGAATGTCAAAATGAAATTGACATTAAAAATTTCAAAATTAGTTGTTGTAAATTTTCAGTGAATATAAAACTTGGTTGTTCGTATTGATAATTTAGATTTGAAATATGATTATAAATATTCATTGTGGACTAATTGGAAAAATATTGTCTTACATTTGTTGCTGTCGTTCAGACTCATTTGCAACGTCCTTGCGCACCTTTCTCTCACCGACTTCAATATCCTTGAACGTGATCAAGTTACTTTTCTTTTATATTGTTCTTCAAGGTATTCATGATTTTTGGTTCGAGGATTTGGAAAAAGGATATCGAGAACGAAAAATGCAAAACAGGATGCAAGAGTCATAGAGGCCGGGTGGTATTAAATAACAAAGAAATGTCGTCATAACCCCCTTGAAACAAAGAATAGGTGTTGTTGTTTTTTTTGTGAAACAAACTTTTATCAGATGGTAAAATTTTTATCAATTTTTTTTTTTGTTTTAATTATTTTAACAGTATTGTCGATTGGAATTTTAGCCCAACTCCACAAAACAAATTAGCATTCTAAAAGCATTTGGTTTTTTAATCAATTTTTGATAAGTTTCGAGATATTGTACAATTTTACTGAATAGATGATTAGTTTTTGAGTGAAAGGAACTGTCGTGTTTTTTCTGCTCTTCATTGATGACTGTTTGTAGAGATGCAACCTTGAACTAGACCTAAAGTTACGAACCTATGCAGAAGATTTTCAATTGGAGAATATTCAATGTCACCAATTTTTGATTATTGTTTAGAGTCTGTGAGAAAAGCTGCAGACACTCTCCAGTAGGAACTTGGTTTATTTTGTTGAATTAGATTCTTTGGGTATTATCCAGTGGACCATTAAAGATGCACCTGAAATTAAAGTCATTGTAGTAATACTGCAGGTGCATCTAATACTCTACTGATTGTAGCAATGTTTGAACCATCCTCTACAGCATCTAAACTTAGAGCAACATCGACAACATTGATTTAATATTTTAAAACTTGCAGAAATGTTTTGCAATGTTGCTGCAACTTTAGATATTGTGGGAGCTGAAGCATTGGAGCAAAATCCATCATCTAAACTTGCAGCAAAGTTTTCCAATGTAGCTTTATCATCCTTTTAGCATCTAGTAAACCAACTTCCATTTAGAAGCACGAACTAACAAAATTATTTCCTGTTTTCAGACACCTTTGGCAGTAGTCTTCATTGCCACGACGGCAACCCTAGTGTCTGGTCAATACGATCAGCAAAGGGACAACTACGTCAACGACTATCAGAACGAACAACAACAACAACACGCTCAACCAATTCCCAGAAGTTATGCCTCAGCGCCGAAGGAACCCGAAAAACCAAAACCCACACCAGTCGCAATTTTAAAACAAATCAATCGCCACAATGAAGACGGCTCCTACACCTACGGCTTCGAGGGAGCCGATGGTTCATTCAAAATCGAAACAAAACTACCAACTGGTGACGTGAAAGGAAAATACGGATTCGTCGACGATTCAGGAAAGGTCCGCGTTGTCGAGTACGGTGCAAATCAGTACGGCTTCCAACCAGCCGGCGAGGGAATCACCGTAGCACCACCAACTCTAGTCGACGAGACCACTGGTCGTGAAGGCCTCGAGGGCCAAAATCAATATCCGGATTACGATTACAGACAGGGACAACAGCAGCAGGCAGCCGCTCCACGTCCAGCTCCGGCTCCAGCACAACCACGAGAACAATATCGACCTCAATACGAATCGCAATCACACACTCAGGCCATTTATGCACCAGCTCAAAGAACACCAACACTGTCCACTGCTCCCAAGCAGCAGCCAATCTTCACTCCTGCAGCACCCAGACAATCGCAAATTCTCCAAGCACAACAACGTCCCCTCTATGATGAACAGGCACCAAGTTCTCAGGCCTATAATCAGGGACCAGTGCAATTTGGACCATCTCATCTTCCCGAACAACGTGCCCAACCACAAGCTCGCAGCAATCCCCCTGGCGGAATTCTCGATCAACTCGCTAGAGATTATGCCCTGCCACAAGATGTCGCACCCCCTCTCCACGATATTAGCTTTGGCTATTACTAATTAAAAAAATAAGTCAATCTTTGCTTATCGGACTTAGGGATAATTACCTCGTCTTTTTCGCAAAACTCTCCGTTTTATGAAAGAGAATAAAGACCCTTGTTTTCTACTTTTCCGATTAGCAGCTGAATTCCCATTTTGAAGAAAATTTCTGTTCTTTTATTTCTGTAAATAAAACTTTCCGTGTGGAAACACAAAAAAAGGCAAATTCTAGCCAACTATCAAGGAATTTGGTTAAAGTAAAGAAACTCTGAACCATGCAAAGGAAAAAGTAGTTCAGAAACCTTCAAATTTTTATATTTTAACTGTCGAACCATATGAAAAAAATATTTTAACCCCTTCACTGTCACTGACCTCTAGAGAGGCACAAAAATGTTGTGCCCTGTATGTCCACGACCCCTATAGGGGCATCGAAAAGAAAACATTTCAAAGTTAACGAATCTGGCTAAAATTGTTTACTCTGGGGTTTTCGGGGCCCTTAAATCCAAATCCGTTGTCGAAAATTCAAAATGTCGACCAAAAAGAATTTAAAAGCTAACGAATCTGTCTGATAATGCCTACTCGGGGTCATTGAATCCAAATCCGTGGTCAAGAATCCAAAATTTAAACTGGCAACCAAAACAAATATTAAATTTAACGTATTCGTTAACCTTCAAATTCCTTTGGTCACCATTTTGAAGCCGCCATTTTAAATTTTGAATTTTTGACCACGGATTTAAAAGTTAACGAATCTGACTAAAAATGTTTACTTAGGGGTTTTTGGGGTCGCTGAATCCAAATTCGTTGTCAAAATTCCAAAATTCAACATGGCGGCTTCAAAATGGCGACCAAAAAATTTTTAAAGTTAACCAATCTCTCTGAAAGTGTCTACTCGGGGGTTTTCGGGGTCGCTGAATCCAAATCCGTTGTCAAAATTGCAAAATTCAAAATGACAATAAAAAAATTTTAAATTAACGAATTCCTTCACTTTAAAAATTTTTTTGTCGACATTTAAAAATTTTTTTTGAACATTCATGGCACAAAAAATTTATTTTCAGTGGACTGTGAAGGGGTTAAAAAAAGTAATTTTTTGAAAATTTATAGCACAAACGACCAACGACATTTGCCGATCTCAACCGAAGTTTTCAATACGAAAAAAAAATTTTTTTCATTATAAAAATACCCAAAATTCAGAGACCTTGAGGAAATTTTGCCGAAAATTGCAGAACAATGTTATCTTCAAAATGAATTGAAAGTGCGAATTTGCAAAACTGAATAATTACTGTAAAAAAGATAAAAAATTTGTAAATAAATTTGATCAGTTTTTTTCGAATAAAAAAATAGAAATACCTACAATAAAAAAAAAATAAATTATGTCATATATATAAATATTGTCCGTAAGGAAAAAGGAATTCAGAAAATTTCGCAATTGAAGAAATTTCTCCCTTTAAAAATTTTTTTTTTTTAATTTCATTTTGTTTCTTTTTTTTTTTTTGTTTCTAAATTCCCAAGATAAAATATTGAATTGTGCAAACAATTCTTTGCTATATAATTATTTCCTCCATCCAATTTATATACAATTTCATAATCATGTGTATAGACAATGTGGAAGAGAGGTAAAGTTTAGCAAAAATGTCAATTCCGCATTGTCACAATAGTTTCCCCCCCCCTCCCCCATCTATATATGTATAATAGAATTTCTTGTATCATTATATAGAAATTTTTGCTCCTTTGTGAAGGTGCATTTCGCATTCTATGTACACGCCATCTCCAAAACCTTCTCTCACAATTTTCTTGTTTAGTCGCTCCTGCGCTCCGTGTGTGATTACCGATTACGGATACTATATGTACAGATATATATATTTATATACGTATCAATGTTCTACTTACACTTTCACTTTGAAAACAGTTCTTGCGACTAAGCAACATTGGATATATATTATTTCTGCCTAAGGCTATTAAGAACGAAAGATAAATATCCATTTGTTAAATAAAAAAAAAAAATTTAGAAATTTTTTATATCCATTTGTTAAATAAAAAAAAATTTAGAAATTTTTTTTGTGCCAAGTCTTCATTTTTTTATAACATTCAAATCAATTATATTTTTCAAAATGTAAATCTAAAAAATGTTTTTTAAATTTAGACGTTTAGATTTTGTTTTCTTTAAAAATTATTTAGTCCTTATTGTTGCTTTTGTAATGTTAATTAGATATTATTTCCGACATGTGTCTGATAGTCATGTTTTAAAAAAAAAATTGGAATAAGAATTTCTTTGTCGTGATTGAAAAAAGTGAAATTTTTGTTGTATGAGATTTTATACTTTAATAATAGTCATTGATATTATAAAAAACATACTAATAATAAATAATTCTATTATATACAAAGGGTTATTAATTTAATTCCCCCCCCCCCCTTGTGTAATTCTAACAATTTTTTTTTAATTTTTGATGTCAGTGTGCTTCTTGTCATCAAAATCAAAAAGAAATGTATTTGTACTTATTTCTTTTTTTTATCTGAAAATTTGTTTTTGTATTTTGAAAAATTAGTTTTCCCGACTTGAAAAATAAATATGTGGTAATACACCTGATTACTGAATGTTTAGTGAATGAAAATAAGTGATTTCGAGAATGAAGTGGTGAAAGCTAAAATAGTTGGTGAATAGAGCTATGAAAAGGCACTCATAAAATTTGCTATTAACAATTTTTTAAGTGATAAATAAATTCTCGTTACATAATATTTCTTTTTTGATGTACTATTTTTCGTGAATATATATGATTTTCTACATACGGCGATAAAAAAAAATATTCATGGTTGTAAGAAAAAAAAATGCAAAACTAGATACAATTTTTTTTTTATTAGGCAACAAAAATTTTAAGATTAACAATAAAAAAAAATAAGTCATTATACTTAAAAATAGAGTGTAATAAACTATTTTAGAATAGAATGCAAAACAACTTCTGCTTCCAAACGCAAGCAAGATTTAAAATGTCAAATTTTTTGCTATGAAAAGTTTAGTTAGAATTTTATGAATATATATTAATTTTAGGAAAGATGTAAAAATTGTACGATTTAAAATCGAATTAGATTTTTAGAAAATTCTGTAGTTGTTTTGATTACATGAAACGAAAATATTTTGTTGATCGTACCTTTTGGGAAAAACACATTTTGAAAAGTTTCGAAAATAGGACATTTAAGAGAGTATAAAACAAATAAAAGACCCTTCCTTAAGTGTCTAGGGCGTTTTATTCCTTAAAAAGTAAGTCAATAACTTTTTATCATAGTTACATGAAGTGCACTTAAGAAGAAATGAACAGGCATTTTTTAATTGAAAGCATTCTTTATTATTCATGTATTAAGCATAATTATCAAGGTTGAGCAGTTAGAAAACTATTTTCCTGAAAGGAGCGCTTTCACTGTGTTACACGTTTCATCCCTGTTTTAAACGTCACGGTTCAGATCCTACAAAATGCTAAGCAGTTTAGTAGCAACCTATCAGTCATTCTGGTTATTACGGTTAAATCGTCAAATAGGTAATAAATATTTATTGAAGGTGAAGTGTAAGTACATATACACTTAATAGATACGGATACTAGATACAAAGATTTAAAAAGTAGATACTAGATAGTAACAATAATTTGCAATTCTCGCTTCATATCTTCCACCCCCTTTTCCCTTTCTTCTTTTTCAGAATAACTCTGTGACAAAAACTGGAGGGGATGAGGATGGATTAAGAAGTTAAACGTATAGACAAAAGGGACGCAGTGTTCATTCAAAAGTTGAGCTGCTGCCGTAAAATTCGCAAAGAAGTTAATTCAGACTTAAGTCACACAAGGGTTGTAGAAGCAAGAGTTACTCAAAAGGAAGTTTTGATCAGAATCGAAGACGACAAATTTCAAATAATTATTTTGAATAACAAATAAATTAATCTGTCCAGTATTATCTATTAAATCATTTCGAACTGGTGGGTCACCTTTACCGTAATTCAAAATTTAGTTACTATTAAATGTATTTGTCGACACATATTCCGTTATGCCATTACAATTAATTAAATCGATGATGTATACAAACTCTTATTATTGTCTACATGTATTGTAAATAATTATTCGATTAACTTGTTAATTTCATTGTGGTAAACTATTTCTGATATTTAATGTATATTATACATTAAATATCAGAAATAGCTTACCACAATGAAATTAACAAGTTATTCGAATTAATTATTTAGATATCTAACTATTGTATCGAATGTACCGAATTAATTTCTTTATATAGAAAATTATTTGTTATTTCATGAATTCCCAGTAATTAATTCGATTCACAATAATTAATCTGAATGCTGTCACCTACATTGGAATGTTATTTTAAGTAACTATTAACTGTAAACGTAATACACGAATTTCATCATGTCGTTTTAATTTACCAAATCCTATATATACTTTTTGAAACAATTTGAAATAATTACTTCGACTATCAAATAAATCAAGTCCAGCATCATCTACCAAATTATTTCTAATAGGTGTTAACTCAATTGATCACCGTTACCGAAATTACAATTAAATGTATTCGTCTACACGTATTCCGGTATGCCATAGTAATTAATCAATTCGACTAGGTACGAAATCTTATTGTCTACATGAATTGCAACTAAGTAATTTGATTAACTTGGTTATCTCATTGCGGTAAATTATTTTGCAAATTTAATCTACCTTTATTGTACATTATGTAAGTAATTAATTTAATTAGTCAAAATTCATTTGTCGCTATGGACTCCCAGCAATTCATTCGATTCATAACAATTAATCTGAATGTGATTACCAATACCGGAATGTTTATGGAAGTAAATATTAACTACAAATGTAAACACGAATTTCGGCATGTCGATTCAATTTGATAAATAATATATATTTCAATTCAATTCAATACTTTTAAATAATTACATGCACCAGCAAATATTACCTATGCCGGAATTCATAATTTAATTACTATTAGGTATATTTATTAATTGATATACATTCCTATAAGTAATTGTAATTAATTTATTTGATTCAGTACTAACTCTAATTGTTAACATTTAATGAAAATAATTAATTTGATTAACTTGTTAATCTCATTGCAGTAAACTATGTTGGTAATTTAACATACCTTACTAATATATGTAATGTAGCGAATTTTTTTAATTAGGTACATAAAAATCTATTTTTCATCATAAGTTTCCAAAAATTAATTCAATTCACAATAATTAATCTGAATTCGGTTATCAATTCCGGAATATTAGATGAACTAAGTTCATAACTTTTTTGGAAATTTAATATACCTTCCTATTATTATATGTAATGTACTGAATTAATTAGATTACATAAAAATCTATTTGCCATCATCAGTTTCCAATAATTAATTCGATTCACAATAATTAATCTAAATTCGGTTATCAATTCCGGAATGTTTTCATGTCTAATCATCTTTACCGGACTTCAAACTTTAGTTACAAGTTTAAATGTATTTATCGTCATGTATTCCGGTATTCCATTTTAATTATTAATTAATTTGATTGGGTACGAAATCTAATTGTTAAGATGTAATGCAAATAATTAATTTCATTAACTTGTTAATCTTATTGCGTTAAACAATTTTGGATATTTAATATACCTCACTATTATATGTAATCTACGGAATTAATTTGATTATATAGAAATCTATTTGTCATCATAAGTTTCCAATAATTAATTCGATTCACTATAATTAATCTGAATTCGGTTATCAATTCCGGAATATTAGACGAACTAAGTTCATAACTTTTTTGAAAATGTAATACACCTT